TTGCACCGCGGGCCAGAAGCAGTCAAGTGCCCGTGAAGGAAGCGATTTTGACCGTTTCACGCTGTCTCGAAAGTAACCATTCAACAATAACACTATAATTACTTGTACTAACACTGTCTTATTTAAGGAGCAGCACGGGGCAAGAATTGAAGAACTGAATTCTATACTCTCAATAGAGAACAGCAGAGCCAGGAACTTGGACTTGAGCAGTGTTTTCATGACTTTGCTAAGACCCGTAGACTGAACTTCTAATTGTGTCTTAGTTGCGGAGCTCAATCAGGGATTTAAATCTATAGCAATGTAATGTTACCTTGCATATGTTGGAAAACTCGCACCTGCTATAATCTGTGACAGCGACAACAAGACAAAGAAAAGGGCCAACAAAAAACATTTGCACCAGGCCAAGTCAATCATTATGTGCATTAACCAGATTTCAGTAACCATGTGTTTGAATGGGTCTTTTAGTCTTCTAACAAGCAGCCTAGCAAAATACAGCAACAGTATGAGTGCAGTGCACTGTAAATGTCAGTCCCTTGGAGGAAACATGCATTCACCACACATACACACACACATTCAGTGCTGGCTCACTAGAGGGGCAGACTAAAGTCAATCTGTTATTTCTTAGTGTAGATTTATATGTAGCTTGCACACACAAAACTACACACACACTGGAAACACTCAGTCACTAACACACTGGGAAACTACAGATTGAAGCCCATCTGTCAGGGGGGGGGGGGGTATTTACTCCTTGGGTCTATTTAGGACCCTGTGTATGTTGTGTGTGTGTCTGTGTTTAACAACAAGAGCGTGACCAAATGCATGTGTTGCTTGTGTGTTTATTTAATTGTTAACTGTACACTTCAGTGCATGTGCTTACAGGAAAAGTTTGTATTTGCCTGTTTCTGGTCATGCATTCAGTAGTGAGTGTGTATGTCAGTATTTGTGCTCTTGTACTGCAGAGTCATGATGTGGTTAAATAAGGACCTTGTCCTAATTTTGGGGTTAAATTTGGTTTTTAGGTTGCGGTTACAGTAGTCACGTAATTCTTCATAATTGCTATGGTTAGTCAGTCATAACAGTTAAGATTACCACTAAGGAATACATGACACCAATATCCTCACATGTATAGTTAGAAATGTGTGTGTATTAGAGTGTGTGTTTGTGTGTGTATTATGTTCTCAGGGGTCCATATACTGCACCATTCCAGCTTTCACTAAGGGATTACCAACTAGCTTGAAGGACATCTCCAAGATCTACATTTCTACATGCAGGTGCTACTGTGAAAATGCCACCAACCACTATAATGCTTTGCTGACTGTACTAGTACATGTTCTGTACTATCTGTCGTGCTCCACATAGCAGCATTGAAGCTCTATGTGGTGTCTGTGCAACGCCATACACAGAAGGTCAACTACACTCTGTGGCATGATGGATAGTAATTGTGTGTATGATGTCTGTTGTTGAATTGCAATTTTATAGCAGTCAAGTACCCAGTACACAATGGAACAGAACACTTTGGGCACTTCTGAAGGGCCCTAAACTCCTCCTCATCAAAGAGGTTTGAGGTCATTTTCATTCATGAAACTATTTCTGAAACTCATGTGAACAAGCAAGTGCAACAATATGAATGTGTTCCAGAAGAGACATGATAAGACAAGACAAATGTGCGCTGTTTCCCCCTATTTAAACGGTATATTTCTGTTTTACCATAACCTGATCCTTTGCTCTTTAAGCTCCTCTCTGTGAAAATGTGAGATTGTTGAGTCTTGCAAGGTTAGAAAAACTTTCCTTTCTACATTTACCAATTCAGCTATGCTATTCAGTAATGGTTATCACAAAATTGTCAATGAAAGTGTCCAGATTTTAATAGATTTATGACTTTTTAGAAATGCAACTACTGCATGATCCACGTCTGGTATTTGGTCTAATCATAGGGATTTGTGTCTTGCTGTGAACAGGGTCAGTGTGGAGTGAAAGTGACACCTACAGCAGCTCTCCTTGTGACTTTGTGAATGACGCAGCAATTCTCAGAAGGACAAGAGGCCTTGTGTAGCCACTTAACCCCCCACCCCCTCTGAATACTGTCTGACCAATTCCTCTTTCTCTGCCTGAGAAAATCATCATGTTAGCCCCTGGCAGCGATTATAATGATGACATGGCAAAATTATATAGTCTGAGTATACAGTATTGTTACAGTTATAGTCTGAATCCATTACTCCTTCACTGCCCTTTTCCTTTATCTCCTTGTCTCACCTGGCTTGGAAAACCCGTCCGAAGGCTCCCTCTCCAATATCTCTAACATATTGGATATTATTACGGGGATACTCTAGCGCCAGCAGCTTTGAGTTTAGCAGCAGGGAACCGCTGGTACATGGGTTGGGGTGGAGTCGATCCAGCAGGAGCTCCGAGGGAAGAGCGCTCATTGTGGGGGTCTCCATAGCTCTGTGGAGAGAGGGGGATTGAGGAATACAAAGGTGGACACATATATGAATTAAGAAAACTGTGCCTCTTGTTTGCATCTCACCTCTTCCGGTTTCTCCACTGCTTCCTCCGTCTACGGCAGGCGAAGAGGATGATAGTGAAGAAGACCGCAGCTGCAAGTGCAGTCAGGATGATGATGACGGACATGGAGTACGCTGGAGATGATCCTGTGGCCGTGGGAGGGAGACGAGAAGTCTGACGAGGACCTGGTGACTCTGGCTTCATCACTAATGGACACGGAGACAGTTCAAGGCGAAAAGATATCAATTGTTTTATCAGCACTGAAAGTATCACTAGAACCAAGCATTTATTGCATGTTTGCCCAGGGACTGCCCTTTAGGGGGAGCTAGCGAGCCGTTTTGCCACACCCATAAAATACGCAATTTTTTGCCCCGCCTGATGTGTGTGCAAAGTTTCTTGAGTTTTACAGCGGCCCCCAAAAGTGAGTTTCATTTGTAGAAGAAAAAAATGGGTCCTCGCAGGTTTTGTGCTCGGGCCCAAAATATTGCTAACATTTATCAAAAATTTAAAGGGTGTCAGAGATAATACACTGTATAACAAGTCCAATTATATTATATTGTTGAAACAATGTCCAGTATAGCATCACAACTTCATGAAAAAATGGTGAGGGGACAGTGTATACAGGATGTGTCTTGACTTTGGGTGGCAAGCTAATTTACAGTCACATGTTAGCTGCTAACTGATGAAAGAAACAGTGACAGAAGGCAGCAGAAGGCAGCACCTGACACCACGCTTGTCTCCCCACACTGCGGCACTGCACAGTACTCCCAGCGTATGTTCGGATTTGAGGTGAAACACCAGGGCTTGTCGCTGATTCCACCCGGGTTCCTACAGTTGTTGTCTGAGTTCTTCAACTCTGGAATCACATCTACAGACAGGCGGTGCTGGTGGGGAACCTATGGGACAAGACAAAGAAGAAAAGTGTGGAGAAAATCAACAAGAGGAAGGGTTTTGTGACCATTTCTCAACAAAGCCATAAAGTTTTTAGTTTTAGTTTTTAAAAGTAATAAGCAGTACAGAATCAGCTACAAGAGGAACAGGGCAAGTTGACTTTTCTGAACAACTGTAGCATTTTGGAAACTAGCCCTTTACTTCTTGTCCTGTCAGAGGTGTGCTGTATCTTCTGGGATCCAGACTGTGGTGGTTTTGAGTAAAACATTATTGTTCTGGTCTGTGCTCCGGAGAGGGGTAAAGAGTAAAACAGACTTTTCTTGAGACAGTGACAGTGAAGTCTGATCAATACATGTATGTGTTTGTGTGTGTTTTTCCTGGACTGTTCACCAGCTGTTGCAGGCAGATTTGAATGGAGTTTTTCTTTTCCAAGAAATTTCTGACTCTTTATCGAAAACTAACAATGCCCTTCAAATAATTTAAGACATTTTTCGAGGCCCTTTTTAACATCTATCATAAGGTTACAGTTTAATAACTGCAGAGGATGTAAAATGTATGGGATTTTAGTGGTAGCATAATTGCATAAAAAGTGCCAACTCAAACACTGAACATCTGGTGCCTTCACGTGTCATGAGCTTAGTCATCAAAAGAGCAATGGTCCAGCCTCCTCCAAGAGATGTGAAGCTATGAACTGAATCCAACACATGCGCTGCTGTAGCTGTATGTGTCAAGCAAGCTGCTCACAGGGTTGATTTCCCACTGGGGCCGGGAATATTAAAAACAATAAGTCACATACCAGCAGGATGGCAAACTAAGTCCACAATTTGTTGCCAAATTATACAAATTTACCTGTTAATTTTAAAATGCTATAGAACAACTTGATGTAATAACCTACTTTACAAACATTACCATATGCATTATACAGTATATATTGTGTGAATAAATTAACTGTGCAAATTAACTTTTAAGTAATAACGGATGGTCACTACATTCATCACATTTTATGGGCTTATTATGACACTCATTAAACACATCATTAGAATAATAATATGTTTTAATGGTATGTTAAAACCTTATTATTATATTCACAAAACAGGACACTTGAGACACTGCTCACATGACTTTACAGCATGCGTATGTAACATATGACGTGTGGAACAATTTTATATCCACTATAAAAGACATTTGCCCAAAGAACGTAAATGATGACTTTGAACCAAGCCATCACTGAAAGAGCTTCTGTTGTAGATTTTAGAAATGTCAATGACTGACTGAAAATATTGGGAACAGCTGCTCTTGCCTGCAACACTAATGCAATAATGGACCAGGTAGGCAGGTGAAAGCTACACTGTAGTTTCAACTATAATCCACCGTTAGTAAATAAGAGATTTTAAATTAAGTTGGAAGTTGGTCAAATTATTTTCAAGGTTGTTTCATTGTACATTTCCAAACGCAAGGAAAAACAAATTATGTAAAATGTATTTCTCCTGCTCTATTTTGTTTTGCACATAGATTATGTCTTAAATTTTCAGAAGCAGACGCACATAATAATACACACTCATTACATGCACAATCACAAATGACTGGATGTTAATTTTTAACATGAACTCTAAGCCCTATTTTGAAATAAATGAAGATGTAGCAAGTAGGATATTAATTTATTAACTTTAATATAATAAGTAGACAAGTGCAAGTGAACATAGAGGGATTGAGATTTGGGGATTTGGGACTTAGAGCAAAATATCAAAGAAGCTTGATACTGTGTAACTTCGTATTCAGTATTTGTGAAACACGTGTTCCTAAAAAAGAAGAATGTCGAAGTTTTTTAACCTCATTTAGTTAAGAAACATACAGTACAGGCCTTTTGAAGTTCAGAATGAAAATGGTGCAATCAGCCTCACTTTACCCTCTGGGAGATCTGCTCCAGTAGACATTATCCCAATTGTGCTAGTATTATACTTACAAAAGGAAATTAAGGCTTTAATGTTGGCCAGGAACTTAAGCATATTCATCAAAATGATCCCATCCTGTTTAACAGCCTACCTTTTAAACGTTTAACGTTTGGCCAAAACATCATATCACCAAATTCCAGCTTCTTCCTGGAAGCAACACATGCTATATTCTTACTACCTTTAACTTTATATCCTGACTTTTAGTGTAGACTAGTGTTTCTCAACGGGGCAGTACCGCCCCCCCAGAGGGCGTTCCGAGGACGATGGGGGCACTGGAAGGAATATTTTGGAAGGGGGGCGCTGAGCTGCTTTTGGGGGCGTTTGTTGGTTGGAAATTCTAAGGCGAGTTTACACTTAAGATTCACAGGACTTAAGATTCCATCCCCCTTTCCCCCTTCTCTTGCAGGTGTTGTCCTTTCTCTGTGCTGTCTGTTTGTGCCCCCCCATCCCCGTGTCTGCCCCCCTGTCCGGCCCGGTGACAAATCAATACATAATTAAATAAATAATAAAACAGACAAAGGAGTATTTTAATACTCTCTTGTTAAAGTAAAATCTGTCTGGCACAATATGGTATCCAGGTCATTATACTCTATACCAGGCTGCTGGGCAGGACAGGTTTAAAAAAAAAAAAAAAAAAAAAAAAAAAACACTTAAGATTCACAACAATTCGAGTTTAAACAAACATCTTTTTTGATGGGGGGCGGTAAGGGACCTGGATAATGGATAGGGGGGCACTGGCCCAAAAAAGACTGAGAACCACTGGTGTAGACCAATGGTTCCCAAACCTTTTTAGACCATTGTCATCCAATTTAACCCATCCCTGAAGGGAGAAGTTGTCGGCAGATGTTGGTTTTAACAATTGAAAAAAAAAAAAGTAACATAAAGTGTTGTTAATGTAAATTATGTTTACCGTGGTTAAATGCGAAAAATGCATTATAAATTAAAAACTGATTAAGACAAATCCTCAAGGCACCCCAGGGTGCCACAGCCCCCACTTTGGAAACCACTGGTGTAGACAATACACTGGTATCATGGAGCTCTAATTGACAGTTCACTAAGCCCCTGCTGCTGCTACACAAGGTATGCAGTTTACAGTGATAATGGTGGAAGATTTACCATTCAAAATTCTTAGTAATTTACAGTAACAGTGGGTCCTTGATTTCAGACAGTGGTAGACAAAAGCAGGTTTCTCGTTTCTATTCCATAACCATCAATTTTGTTCACTCAAATCACAACTGTTGCTAGCAGATTTTTTCAGCTATAGCTAGCAAGCAAATCTGTATTTAGCTGACTTTTTAATTCTTCAAGCTGTTACAAGCATCCTGTAAATAGTGTGTATACGCACAAAAGAGCCTTTTGTGTTTGAACCAACTCCAACACAGTGCGGAAATACTACACAACATGTAGTATGAAATTCTGCTAGATTAGGTTACTACTGTTGGTAGTAAGCCAGTTTGCTGGACATGCTAAATTTTGTAGCTTACGTCAGAGCACACTAACACAAAATAATGCTGTATGAAATTCCACTGGAAGTAGGCTATCGGGTTACTACTGTTGGTAGTAAGCTAGGTAGCCGTAAATGCTAACATTTGCAGGTTAAATTAGAGAAGACAAACACGCTGTTTAATCCATTCTTTACACTTTCACTCTTTTTTTTGGTTTTGGAGAGCATAAAACTTAAATTAAAATAAGTGTGTCCTACCTTTTACATTCTCCTGGGTTATGATTTGTTTCTTTCTCAAACATACACCCACACAAGCAACTCTGGCCAATATCAACCAGTAGTAGGAGACAGTAAATCATGTCCTGTGTTTTCTGATTGAAGGGGATGTTCGTTGAAGTAGATACAGACATCCGTTAATCTGATAATTCTCCCTGTGTGGGAAACCAAACCATTGTGACGTTGTGTGTGCGTTTTTGTACTTCAGGGGATATGTTAGATGTAGCCTTCATATTTTTTAGTATGTGCTCTAATGTGTACATGGTTTGGGAAGTGTGTGAGGGAGAAAAAAATTATTTATTTGAGAACTTAAAGTGTAAGCCAACATTGGGTGGAGAGAATGTGCAAATATTTGTAAATTGCATTAGAGAGCGACACACGTTCTCTCAATTTCAATGTATGTGTGTGTGTGTCTGTTAGCAAGTGCAACGTGTGTGTGTAAGTGATGGAGTCTGTGCAGCATATGCGTGTGAAAGCTAATTGCTTCCAGAGGCAGGATGTGACATGATGAGTCCCTCCCTCTCTGCTGATCTGGCACACACACACACACACACACACTACACAGGAGAGTACTAACAGTTCACCCTAACAGACCCTCTCACTGAGTAGAGCCATAAAAACATGAATACGCTTTTGGGCCACAGGGGTGTGTGTTATATGAGTGTGTGTGTGTGTGTGTGTGTGTGTGTGTGTGTGTGTGTTTGCAGTTGTAAGCACTTTTGTGTTTTTTGGTTTCTGGTTAGAGGTCAGGAATGTTTGATATAAAACTAAACATCCACACCAAAGTATGAATACAATTAAATAAGTATTTTTTTTTCCCAGTAGAAACTGAATTATTAAACCAACTGACCCTTCACTAAGCCACGCCCCTTTTATCATGGCGCTGCCTCTGTCTATTACTTCACTCCCTGGAGAAATATTGTCAAAATTTTGGATAAAACTATCTCAGAATGAAGACGATGGTTTTGCAGTTGCATTGTGCATTTGAAGGTTTTATTCAGGCTGTCAAACTGACTTGAAAAAAATAAAGACAGAAGCTAAAGCCTACATATCACAGTATAAAAGTGAACCACTGCATTACCTGACTATTGAGAAAGAGGACAACAATATTAAGGATCAACACTGTTCCTGTACGGCTGGGTAGGTCTCTAGTCACTATTACAACCATTTAAAAACAATAGGGATTTATAACGTTACATTTAGTAGTAATTTTGCTAGCATTAGCTAACTAACGTTACATTAGAAACAAGAGACAGCCTACATTTTTCTGGATTTGTTTTAGGTTTTGGAAAGGGAATGAATAGAACTTCTCCTTTCAACCTCTCTGGGTAGTGATTGTAATTATTTCAAGTGCCCTTAAGAACAGCGTTTGACCATATCTTGGAAAAATACAGCCAAAATAAGTTAGCTAACGACGCATTTTCCATAAGAGTAAATGGAGCTCTGCCATGAAAATGTCGGACCTCAGTTAGAGGGAGTCCTATACTGCGCTGTGATTGGTCAGCTGTGTATTCGGGGCGTAGCTTATTGAAGGGTCAATTCTATTGAATCTTCTGTCTGCATTCTAAAATATTGCACGTGCAATTGTATCTTATGGGTGATCAACTAAGAATTATTGCATAGATGACAACAGGTGCAAACACAATAGAGGTGGCAGTATTTAAATGAGGGTTTTGCTTGTTTTAATGGTTTCCGTCATGGAGAGTCGGAAGGGAAAGCAGCCACCGCGTAAAAGTCTTGGTTTATTTCTCTGCGCAGCACTTGGCGGTTTGCACTTTCCTTTCAAACAAATTAAATACAGATGCTGTTGCACTCACATGAAATTGCTTTTAGGCTTGTTGGATCACATTGTGTGTAGTAAATAAATGTATTTGTATTTGTTACCCTTCTATTACTTTGCACTATAAAATTGAAATGCCCCAAATTGCATATTCATTAAGGCAAAAGTTATAAATGAACAACAGGTGCTACCTTCCACTTTTGGAAGACATCATTCTTCGTGCACACCATTAGTAGATTAGTAGACACCTTACATGTTAATTTGCTGTGATATCAAGTTTGCGCACATTTTTACTCACGCAAACCTTTAGTAAATCTGGCCCAGTGTGACAGTGTGGCTTTAAAAACATTTACACACACATACACACAAACCACAATACCTGTTGGCTCCATGGCTGACATGGTATCCCAGACCTCGTCACATTCGCACTGCCTTGGTAGAAACGGCCTCTGTCATCATAACATGTTGCTGTTCATACCAGAACAGAATGGATTTAGGATTAATATGTTACCATCTAATAAATAATCAAGTCATTTCTGTGTGAGATTAGTTCTGATGACTGGATACATCTTTGTTGGTACTTAAACTCTTTTTACACTTACTTGTAATTTGGTCTCTCTTGATGTCTGAAATGTAGAAAAGAAGAGGACAAAATAAGATAGATTAAAAACATTATTAATAAATAAAGAGGAAGGAAATAATAAAGGAGAAGCACAGCTATGAAGTCATCTGAATAAAAAACATTTCATGGGGAAATCAGCGCACCACTTCAGGTCAATTCAGTACAGTGATGATTATCTTACAAAGCAAACATGCAGACTACTGCCTAGAGACTCGAGTCACACACCTGCAGCTGCATATTTTGGCCCAGCTAGTCAGACCCTCTTAATGACCTCATCAGTATCAGTGACCTGCAGTCTAGCAGGCCAGGCTTTATTTGGCTATCTGCATACAAGTAACTGCAGCCAGCCAACTGCTGCTTTACTTTCATGTAATTTCCTGTCTGCTTGTATGCTGTGCTCAAGCTGTTAGATTTAGCACATTCTAGCAAAGTAATTCAATAAATCAAATTTATTTATTTATTTTTTTAAATGTAACGTGAAGCATAAAGTCAATTGATCTTTTCAGTGTGTTAATTAGTCTTTTGTTTTCTTCTGTAACACACTACATTCTGTAAGCCGGAAACAAACTCATGCATATAAACCTTTTTGGATTATTTGCGGGGGGTTTTCTCAGTAAGTGATATCTTACCCACAAAAGGGACATGTGTACAAGCCTCAGGGTCTGTGCGAAGACTTGGCAAGCTCTGACAGTTGGGCAGCAGTGAACTGGGAGTGTGGGACCCAGGGACAGAGCTGAACAGGCCCGGCTGGACTGAACTGCTGCCCTCCAGTACCAACCACTCCTTATGGCAGTACAGCTCCTTCACTGCCAGGCAGTGTTCTCTGTTTGAGAAACAAAAGAAATACATGATGATGCTCCATTTATTGATTAATTATTTTTGTTAATTTACTTTCTAAATGTATCTCCTCCATCACTTCTTGTTAATTTATTCAATTCATTCATTTTTTCTTTGACTCATTCATTTGTATATATTAACAGGTGAAACAAAGAGCAAAAAGACACATAATGCTACCTGCAGACAGGTTTAGGTGCCGGTCCTAACCCTGATGGGTTGCAGTCAGGGAAGGAGGAGTGGCAGAGCAGTGAGCGTATAGCAGGGCTACAAAGCATACTGAGCCCTTCCAGTTCCGTCCACCAGCTCTGAACCAGGTACTCCTGCATGTCCTCGGGGTCCGAGAGGGAGGAGTTAAAGAAAACCAGCAAATCATCTCGTAGAATGGTGCGGCAGACATCTCCACGATACGCACTGCAGTAGCCTGTGACGCCCTTATAGAGTCTGTGGTAAGAAGATGCACATAAATAGCCACACATTTAGTACAATTTGTATGTGCGAATATATCTGAACCACATCTAGATAAAGTCAAGCTACAATCTCTCAACCTCACTGGCAGTGAGGAGAAGTTGAACTAGGAATGGGAAATGGCTTTATTTACTGTGTCAGTTATTAAATTAATGAAATTAGCAAAGGACAGTAAATACCCCTCAACACACAGGGATAGTTCACCATGGCACTGCCCTTCATCTGTAATACTATTGCCTGGACAAATTTGTAATTTCTGTGGAGGTGTATTGTCCAAAAAAGAAAGTGAAACAGTGAGAAATAGATGCCATCAATGGGCCCTCAGTCGCCTAAGTCTTTCACTGCTTTGGCTTACAGTTAGTGAACTCGTGTGGAGTTCATTAACTGTTTGTCCACTACAAACAAAATAAGAAACGCTCTACTTGTATCAACTGAAACATCCTTTTAACACTGTCCAGATGTTGATCATGAAACAGACTGTGGAAGGAAATGAATGAAATTATATCCTGTCCGTCTGCCTGTTGGAATTCGTTGTTGCCTCTAGATTGAACCGGTTGGTCATCCACACATACATATATACATACGTCATTAACCTGCCCGTCTATCTACTGGGACTCTTTGCGTCCCTGCCTATCTTTTTCCCAGTTTCCCACTCTGTCTGCCTGCTCTTATGTCAGTTTGTCTTTCAGCATGGATATGATCCACATCCTTGGTCTTTCTGCCAGCCTGCACGTCTGACAGCCTTCACTCCACATTTCTCTCTGGCTGCAAACACTTACAATCTCCAGATGTTGCCTCTCTGGGAGATTGGCGCTTCGGCGGAGTTCAAGTCAAACCATCAAACTTAAAGCTGACCTGTAAATCCATCATCCCACCGTGTTCTCCTTCTCTTTACCATTTCTCTATGTCTCTCTCTCTCTGCTTCTATATCCTATTAATATATGGCCCAGATGTGGTCATGAGTTGGCAAATCATGTAAGATCTAACCATTAAGCCTGATCCTTTTGTCTTCTGTGATCCTGCAAAATCCACAGTCTCTTTCTTCATTTTTACCTCAGAAATTCTCATCAGGCATCCAAAGGCCAACGTTTTCTCTTTCTCCTACGTGTCTCTCTTTTTCCCCTTCTCTCTTTCTCCCCTTCTCTCTTTCTCCCCTTCTCTCTTTCTCTCTTTCTGCAGTTACAAAGTCCAGATGTGGTAACTGGGGTTGTGTTGTGGTTCAGCAAAGTTCATTCAACTCACACCATATGGGTGACTGAGAGACTGAGAGAATCCCTCTTGGCACTGCAGGTTTATTGAGCTAAAATGCATTTTGTCTTCAGTAGACCCAAAGGAAGCAACAGTACTTAGTCTCTTTAAACACAGTGCAAACACAGCTGCTTATCAATATTGAATTTAGTGACAGGCAATGTGCTGTGTAGTTTTTTGATTCAAGGTGGTTCAGCTTGGCTGAAACACTTTTTGTGTAAACCCATGAGAAATAGCATTTAGAAATAAAACACAGAGCATTTCTCTTACCTCCACTCTACAGGGAAGTGACAATATCCAGAAGATGTCGGATGAAGGGACACAAATAGAAGGAAAGGGCAGAAGAGGGGAGACAGACAGACAAGAGAAGGAAAAAATACAAAAATCAGTCTCAGCAAGAAGAAAAAACCAACCATCGTGCTTCTCTCACCAACTCATAGCTAGCTGTGATTAAACTGAGGGACAAACAGGTGGCTGGACAGTGTGTGTGGTCAGGGAGGAAGGGGTGCTGGTGTGTTTTTTTAGGTGACTGTGGTCAAGGGGTGTGTTGGCGAGTGTCGTCAAGGTATCAACCAAATGGAGGGGGACAACAAACAGCTGAAGCCACACAGAACACAACTAATATAAATGGCAGCTAACATAACTCGAGACAAAGCAGTAGCAATGCCCTAATACAAAGAGACGGAAGAGCTACAAGTATCTAGTTGGTTTTCCACTGATTTCAGAGACAGAGATTTTGGAATGTGTGATATCTTGATTGGAAATGAAAACGTGTCACTACCTGCGACGGTGACTTTAGCAGTTGCCTTGACAGTGTTGGCTCCAGCACTGTGTCTGTTGGAGGCCAGACATGTGTAGAGAGCGGGCTTATTCACCGTCACTTTAAGAACGGACAGGATCACCTCTCCAGTCAAAGTCTCTTCGACCGATGCCCCTGAGATCTGGGGGGGGGGGGGGGCATTGAGAGAAAAGGAAAAGGTAGCAGTAATGTATCATCATGCAAGGACAAATTGCACTTACAAATATACACAACTATATTGGCTTTTATAGGTTTTTGTCAACCTGACTACTGATACTGTCTCATATAAAGTTATTTTAGCAAACTTGGAACTATTAGATTATTTTAGATTATAATAGAAAGATTTATTCATCCCAAATGGGGAAACTCAATTTCTATCAGATCACAACATACAACAAAAACAGAAAAGGCAACCATTGCGTGCACACAAGACAAGAAATAAACCCATTAAAAGCCTTCTGCTTTTAATTGTTTGTTTTTTTTAAAGGAACTACTAAGTGTCTTAAAGACACTGTGGATGGTCTAAGATCCATGATCTATTTAAAAATTGAAAAGACACAGAGAACATTAGCAATCATTTGGAGTTGTGTTTCAGGCCACCTGATCTTTTTAACTCTGGGTTGGGTTTTAAATCTGGCTCTGCATATATGAAACAAATATCCCCCCTAACTTCCATCATGAAATAAAAAATGATTAAAAACATTTAATATGAAAGTGCTCATACACTATTCATAATATACTTTCAAGGGTGTTGAGTTGTTAAAAGTGCCTACACTATGTGACTTGCATTAATATAACTACTTGTAGTCATTTAGAGGATTTAGAAATTTCTGGTATTCACACTGGGCGACGAGATAAAATGTTTTGTTTGTATTCTCACTTACATGTATATAAATGATATATGTGAGAGCCTGTGAGTATGTGTGTGTGTGTGTGTGTGCGCGCGTGTGTGTGTGTGTGTGTGTGTGTGTGTGTGTGTGTGTGTGTGTGTGTGTGTGTGTGTGTGAGTGAGTGAGTGAGTTTGTTAGTCATGGTGCTGATGTGCAACGGGTCTATATTTGAAGTTATGTCTGACACCGCCTGTTTTTAGGACGAGCTCGATTAATGACTTCAACTAGCTGCCAGAAAAGCAGCTCACACATGTCATTTTAATCAGCACGCACATACATAGCATTTACCAGCATTATGGGCCTGTAAACACGTTGTAGCTAGCACCCAAGACTATTAAAAAGCCAGACATTGTGTGGTGTACGTCTGCCTCCAATGGCAATCGTAAAAAAATGTCTGCTGCCTAGTTTAACCTTCTCTGACATTCTTAAAGTGTTCCGTGTGTAACGTCATGTCTATGATTAATTTAACCATCACAATGACACATGTAAACATGAGATTATTAGACAAAATGTACGCATCATAAAAATTGGACACTTGGCACTCACAAAATAGGTTTCAGTTATGGTGCTTGTTTAAAAGATTCATCAGCAGGTACCTTTATATCTCCTATAGTTATTTTATCTTTTTATGAACTCTATATTCATCAGCCCTGTGTAACAGCTAAATACCCCAGTCAGACCCCCTTTACAAGTCAACAGTTAACACAAACCATTCAACACCACAAGAACCTTTGTGCTTGCTCCCTTAAAAAAGACAACCCAATTAAAGCTGATAACACTGTGTATCACTGGCTAAATGGAAGGCAATCTCTTCAATCCTCTGTCACCATAATGAGAATTCCATTGCTGTTTATATCACTGATCCCACAGCCACTCTATGAGTGCATTGGCTATGTGTGTGTGTGTGTGTGTGTGTGTGTGTGTGTGTGTGAGACAGAGAGAGCGGGGGATAAGTGCTTCCTTGAATGCGTTGTTGTTTGCATTACGGTATACTTACTGTATGTGTGTGTGGACGTGTGTTCCTAGTATTCTGGTTTCCCTATTTCCCCTCGCTAATGCACGTAACTACAATACTATGTTTTGTTGATCAAATATATCAATAACACCAGTGTGTTGATGCAGAGACGTGCAGCAACAGGTGTCTCAAAAGAGAAGAACGTCAATTAGCCTAAACCACTTAAGAGCAGCGCAGGTTGCTTCTGTAGACCAAAAAAACAGAGATCCACTGGGAGAACTGGTACTGAATAAGTCATAGATTTGTTTCCAAATGTACAGTGGGTCAAGCCAGTAAATTGTTGTGTCTGTTCTTTGGATATGCTTGCTAGCTGGGAAGCGTTTTGCTGCTAATATGACAAAATAGACAATGCTAATGTGCTGGTTGCAGGTATAAGCCATTAATCTACTAAATAGCTAGTTATATTGTATTCTTTAGAGCAGTCCAATATAGTTTAATCTCAGATGTATATGAAGATTTGTGAAGATGAAGGTTTCATAACTAAAACTTAATGGGACTGTAAGGCATGTTGGCTTTCTACTCTGTTATTGTCGCAGCTTTCACATTATGTAAGACTCTGCAGCTGACAATGTGTCACAATGTCAGCTACGTGATGAAATTTCTCTGATGCTGGCTGTGTTGACTTGACATTTGAGCCAAACTCAACCACTGTGAAGGAGACAAGAATATTCCTGCAGAGATCACAAGCATTAATGAGAGACAAAGTGGACCGGGCATAGATGGATGGATGGATGGATGGATGGATGGAGATGCCACCATAAACAATGTCATCACTTTGGATTGGATGCTTTTTGACCCTGATAGGGACACATTTATGGACTGAATTCAAATATCAGCATCAATAAAGGACGAGTTAAAAACTCATTTTGGTCAACCCCAAACACTTGCTTTCACACACACAAATGCACATTGAACCTGAACACTTACAGTGTTCCCATTTTCCAGCCAGGTGATTGTGGGGATTGGATTTCCTGTGGCGTTACACTCCAGGGAAATCTGGCTGCCATACGCGACCCTCTTCTCCTTAGGAACCCGCAGGATTCGTGCTGGAGCTGAACACGGAGACACAGTGTGGACATATAAACTCACATACTGCAACCAAACTATTGTATTCCACTGTTTTGACAATTTACAATTTTAAGTACATATGCACATACTAAGCATAGAGAGTGAAAACACATTTAAATACATACCCTGTACCTCTATGCTGACAGGCTTTGAAAAGGCCAGACCAAAGCTATTCCTGGCCACGCAGCGATACTGTCCTGCATCCTCCTTCTGTATGTTGTGGATCTTCAACGCACCATAGTCAAGAACGGTAACACGGTCACTGACCTGGGAGAGATTTGCTGGAATTATTCACCTTTATAATATATAAAAAAAAAGTTTTCATTTGCTTTCAAGCTGTTGTTAAATTAGGTGAAGATTGTTAATTTGTCTATAGAACATAGAAAAGATTTAAATTCAGGTATGATGTAGGTGTGATGCAAATTAGCGACAAAAGGCATTAATGAGAAACCAGGGCTTGAAAAGGGTTCCTAGGTACGTATCGAATATGCACCAACAGGCATTGGGGGAATCCATGAGCTATCTTGGCTTGCAGTCTGAAAGGAAGAGGTGTGATGCGAATTTGCGACAATCAGCATTAACATTATTATAACATCTTCTATCTATCTTTTATCTAATGCTATTGGACACCAGAAAACAAGCCAAAACATAGGACATTTTGAGCTCTTATGTGTTCATTTACAGTCTGGATATTTTTACAGTCTGGACCCATTCCATGTGCAGGTGAGACATATACAAACACTCCAATGACTACCTAACTAAAGCTAAATCAGTGAAATGTCTCATGTAGCTGGAAAACATCCACCAACTGCCTGTTGTTGTTCAATGTTTTGAAGGGAAAGAAGTGCATGCCTTGATAAGCTCATCATCTTTGAGCCAGGTCACATCCGGTTTGGGGTTGCCGAGGGTAACGCAGGGCAACACTGCTTTGGATTCTACCAGAAGGGTTACATTGGTAGGATGGCGCTTGATTTGTGGCTCTGATGTAGAGACAGACAAGACAAGAGAGACAATATTTTGATTAAGCCCTTTGTCTCAGTGCTACTTTGAGTGTGTTGTTCTTAATGGAATTGGACCATGATCTCAAGATTGACTAGACTCCAGTCGTACAACCTTGGAAGAAAGCAGACATACTCATCTTTAGCTGCAGCGCTCCACAGCTCTTGGCTGGCTCCCCAATGCCGTTACTGGCGAGGCAGCAGTACTCTCCATTGTCTGACTCTCTTACATGAGGGATCATTAGCATCTGTCCCTGTTCCCTGGTAATGTACCGGGGGTCATAGTACCTGGGGGGGGGGGGGGGGGTGAAGCAAAGCAGAGTCTGATTGTGAGCAGAAGGGACCAGTGGACTTCTTAACATACTTTACTTTTTATTTGTCTTAAAATATTAAAAGCTTTAGAAATATAGGCTATTCTTTAGACAAAATGTGTACCAAACACAGAACAATCAATATATGTTTGTATATGTATGTGACTATCAATGTTTGCAGGCAGCTGGTATTATTTATGTTTTATTCTTGCAAATGTTAGCATTATGTCCAAACATTTTACCAAATTGTTTTAATGTTAGCCTAGCTGCTAGTGTTACATCCAGTATTTTATCATTTATTGCCAGTGTTAGCCAACAGTAGCTAATGTTGACACCATTACATAGAAACTGCTTTAATGTTTGCCTTTTGCTGTCCAACTTTAGCAGCTAATTTCACTTACTTTTTATCATTTAACTTGTGGTTGATTTAGTTAGAGGCTAATGGTACATACAGGTATTAAATCATTTTTGTCTATTTTACATTGTAATGGTCATTTAGTTATTGACACTGTATCGTGTTATTGTCATCTTAGCCTTTCAGTTAGAAGTGTTTTTGATGTACTTTTTGCTAGTGTTAGCTAATGTAATGACATTACTAACATTTTTAGAATTTGCCTGAAAGTGAACCTTTTTGACACTAATATGTTTCATACCTCAGTGGGAAAGCGCTGTTTGCATCAAATATATGTAGCCAAAATAAAGATAAAAACAAGTATTTCACAGATTACCATTGAAGCTTGTGAGATTCCTTAATGAACCTGCAAAGGTAGATTCCTAGAAATATTAGTTGCTGAATAATGAAAGAGGTTAAGGTGTGAACTTACATTATTGGGTGGTTATTCTTGGTCCAAGTGATTTCAGCAGGGGGACGGGACTCCACCTCACAGATGAAGGTGGCATTGTGATCCAGTAGTACATCCAGTGTCTCTAATAAGGTGATGATACGAGGAGCTAGGCAATGAAAACATGAAGACTTTTGTTACAACACAAGAAATCCATCCCGAAAATCTTTTCTAAGTCACTGACAGCATTGATATAAGACTTTTTAATTTTCTTTAAACTACAATACACAGCCATCACGCTTTATTATGCATTGGCACTGAAAATGCCATTGAGCTGAATCACTGTTGTTTATTTATAATACATTGCAGTCTTCCTCAGGGAAGTGTAAACAGCTGCATATTTTCAGCACTAAGTATTTGACATTCTTGGCATTCCTGTTTTAGATTTGAGTAGTCTGTTTCGGTCACTCAGCATCCAGCTATGACTGCTGACTAATGGGACAGAGGTTTTAGGGTTTGTTAGCAGGACAGGAGAACAGTGACCGCGAGGGGAAGGCGAGTCTGTTTATTGGTGTAATGACATCTGAAGCATTTGGGATTTTAGTATTGACAGAAAACATAAGGAGAAAAGTATTAGAAGGAAGTAAGGATGACAGAGAAGAAAAGAGGTGAACTCGAGCTAACATTTTGAGGTTTGTTATGGCTTTATTTCTTTATTCAAGCAGAAGATGAAGCAAGGACAGTTTCATTTAACCCCTTGACGCCGATTGTCGCAAATTCGCATCACACCTCTTCCTTTCAGACTGCAAGCCAAGATAGCTCATGGATTCCCCCAATGCCTGTTGTCGCTAATTTGCATCACACCTACATCATACCTGAATTTATATCTTTTCTATGTTCTATAGACAAATTAACATTCTTCACTTAATTTAACAACAGCTTGAATGCAAATGAAAACACAAATAATTTAAAAAAAAAATTTTTTGTAAAACAATTCAGGCGTCAAGGGGTTAAGGTTCAAGGATAGGCTCCATTCCCAGTGCTCACACTGTTCTCTACTATCCCATTTCAAGAGATGGTATTTGTTAAAAGGAAAGTGTGTAAATTAACAGTTTACAGTTCACTGCATTTACAATTTATCAAAACCACCTGCCACCTAATATAAACCTGGTGAATCCAGAGTAAAGATGTGATCAATATTTGTTTCATGCATATAGTCATGAAAGGGAGTAGTAAGAAAAAAAGGAGAAGAGGGATTATTTTTAGACAAGTGAGACACAGGTTAAAAGGAAGGCAACTCAGTATTAGTAAGGTAGTCTGATATTTATTTTTTTACTCTAGTGAATATATTGACAAGGAGAAAATAAGAGGGAGAGTAAAAACAAACAAAAAGACATGTTGAAAGGGAAAACCCATGGAAGAATATAGTAGTATCACAGGGGTGAGGCAGTAACTGTTTATATGTGGATTCAGATCAGAGACATCAGGGTTGCTTTAAACTTTGTATGAACTAAGAAGAGAACAGAGGAGAGAAGAAGAAGTCAAAACAGAGGAGGGGAAAAGGAACGGAGAGGAAAGTGAAGAAGAAAATGAAAGGAGGATAAAGGAAAGGATCAGGATTTAAAGAACATTATGCTTGTTTTGTCTCTTGTGAAACAAAGATTTCACAATAACATAGCCTCCCTACATGCCCACCCCAACCCTAGGTCACTGCTGCTGTTTGACTCATGAAGGGGTGAAAGAAAGCTACTGTAAATCAAACTGAAACCCTGGTATGAGGTTAAACGTTGGCTTGAAACTATTTTAGCCAAGGTCAAAATAAGGTGAAATATCTCACTAGTACCTGCTTTATAAAGTGATTTCCCATTGTTATTTTTAGCCATGCTAGCAGCATGGCTCTATGAAAGGCAACAGTGGTGGTTGGTCAGGATGTCCACCACAATTAATGTTGTACAGACATTCAGGTTTCCCAGAGGATGAATCCTAATGACTTTGATGATCCTCTGACTTTTTAGAGGCATCATCAGGTCAGAATTTTAATTTGTGCATTACTTTGGTTTATGCCCAAATACTTGAAAACTATAATGACATCAGCCTCAGCTAAATAGTTTTTAGCATTAGCATAGAGTCCTCTGAAAGTCAGAAAATACTTACACAGATTCAATAATAATGTTGACTGTACTTGCAGCACATTATAGTAGAGCCTGGGTTTTTGGAGTGGGTTAGTTGCAAAATGTCTTTTCCCCCACTATGTTAGTTTTGCTATTGCCAATATTATGTCTGACCAGATGGACAACATCTGAAGAGTTTCACTGTGACTCATGTTTAAAAGAGAGCCTCTCTGGATTTGACCTTGTGAGAGGTTCTTGTTTGGAAATGCTGTTTGGACACCAGACATGATACAGGGCTGTCAAGGTCCTTAGAGGAGGCCAATTACAGTGATCCCATCTGCTCTCTACATATGTTGTAAAAACCTTCTTGATCCGAACCAACTGCCTCTTATTATCGTTTGCTTTCCTTATTTTTACTGTTTGTGGTTTCACTCCATAACATAAATATATACATTTGCTGGTGTGCAGCAGAAAACGTCTCGGGTTACGTATGTAACCCTGGTTCCCCGAGAAGGGGAACGAGACACTGCGTCGGTTACGACACTATGGGAACGCCTCTAGGCGAAGCAGGTCTGAACGTGAATGAAATCACTCCAATCCTATTGGCTTGTTGCTAGAACGGTAAGGTGTGACGGAATAACCGGAGGAGTATAAAGCACACCTGTACACACTCATCATTAGCTTCAGGCGGGGAGAGAGGTGCGGCGGGCCGACGCAGTGTCTCGTTCCCCTTCTCGGGGAACCAGGGTTACATATGTAACCCGAGACGTTCCACTTCGAGGGAATTCGAACTGCGTCGGTTACGACACTATGGGAACGAGATACCCACTAAACCGTGCCGAAAACCCCGCCTGCCCCAGTGTGCAATAAAGTGGCACTACTAAGAGGAGAGCGCACGAGTGCCAGGTGCCGAAGGAAGGTCAAGACTGTAAACCGAATGAACGTGTGCGGAGTGGCCTAGCCAGCCGCTACACAAATATCCTGCAAAGAGGCCCCGGAAAGGAGGACTTGAGAGGCCGCCATGCCTCTGGTAGAATGAGCCCTCACAGCCACAGGTGAAGGCAAACCGCGCACCTGATAGGCCAGGGAAATAGTCTGAACAATCCAGTTGCTAATAATATGTTAGCACAGCCCTGGGGGACCCAAAACACACTAGCAGCTGGTCAGCCTTCCTCCAACGGGAGGACCTCTGAGTGTAAATACTCAGTGCTCTGACAGGGCAGAGCAGATGAAGTCTCCCGTCCTCCGCCGTCACATGAGGTGGAGGATGAAATGCCTGCAGCACTGTGGACCCTGCCGCACAAGAAGGCACTTTAGGGATGTATCCTGGACGAGGGTGCAGGATAGCCCTAATATTCCCCGGGGCAAACTCCAGGCTTTGCAGGGAAACCGAAAGCGCTTGGAGATCCCCCACCCTCCTCAGAGAGGTGATAGCAAGGAGAAAGGCCATCTTGAGGGTCAAGTGCTTAGCCTCAGCTGACTCCAGGGGTTCGAAGGGGGCCCCAAGAACCACCGCCAGATCCCGAGTGGGAACCTTGGACCGAGTCGCAGTTCTCATCCTCCGGGCACCACGGAGGATCCGTGTGGACGGGGTCCTGACGCTGAGGAGGGTCTCGACTGCTCCGGCTGTTAGACCCGCCTCTAGGTACTGTGCCCCCTCAGGGGCCAGACCCACAGTCGCCATACGGTGGGGCAAGGGTGAAGAACCCGGCCCTGCGCCTGGGACAGCAGGTCTCTCCTCAGAGGGACCTGCCACGGCGGGCCGTCCAGGAGCAACATGATGTCCGAGAACCACACCAGGGTTGGCCAGAACAGGGCTACGAGCAGTAGGCCGACATTTTCCTGGCGGACCCGCTCCAGAACCCCCGGGAGCAGAGCCCGGATGGATATAATACCCGCATGGAAAGGGCTTTGCAACGGGCGCAGGCAGCCCCCTCGAGAGCTGCCCGGGCATGCTCCATCCCCAAACATGAGACACACATCTCATGAGAATCTCCATCCGCGATGTACCGAGGGCAATAAAAAATCTGTACATCTGGTTGCCGGACATGCTGGTAGACTTCTTCTTCAGGTAAGACACACTGCTTGTAGGACTGGAGCTTTCTTCAAACAACATACAGAGCGCCTGCTGAATAGAAAAAAGCTAATGATGAGTGTGTACAGGTGTGCTTTATACTCCTCCGGTTATTCCGTCACACCTTACCGTTCTAGCAACAAGCCAATAGGATTGGAGTGATTTCATTCACGTTCAGACCTGCTACGCCTAGAGGCGTTCCCATAGTGTCGTAACCGACGCAGTTCGAGTTCCCTCGAAGGGGAACTGTGCATTGGTGCATTTTACCAATGTGTCCAGTTGTGGAAATGTTTGTCCTCAGATATTATAGCTAACAAGTGAATTTCCAAGTACATTTTAGTCATTTTGTCATTGTGTACTTAGATCTGCCAGTTATGCAAATTCAAATGTATTTTACAACAGATACCATCAATGTTATTATTGATGCCTTTCTCTGCAGTCACCACTGAAATAATCTTTCTAACTCACTTTTAACTTGCATCTTTTCTGTGTTTGTTCATTTCCTCCAGTACCCAGTAGGTCTCTGTCAACTTTTAAACCATCCTTTGGTTCCTTTGGTGTTTGCTTTGATTTGCAGTTCATCCTCTAGGATTTTTTCCCTACTTTGAAACAAATTGTAAACAGTTTTCTCTCTGACTCATGCAGACCAGATACAAGATTTTATGTTCTTCTTTTTTTTTTAATTGATAATTTCATTATGGTCAAACAAGAGCAAACACAAAAATAGTATTGTTCTCGTGGCACGTCATGTCTGCTAGGGAGTCATCCATTGTTTGTAGAGGTTCGGTTCACACAGACCAGCTGAGCAACATTAAACACCCTCTTTAACCTATCACAATGCCTTTAAATGCATAAGTGGTCTTGATTCACGCTTCTAGGGCATATTTACAATAATACTGGCCTCCGGCGTAGTTGACTAAAAGACATTGTGCTTTTGACAGAAAATGTTGATTCTACATGTATTTGTCTGCAGGAAAGGAGGTGTAATATTGTTTTGGTTCATGCTGTCACTAGTTGATTAACATTCATTTTAACTGTTTGTTCACACTCATTTCAAATGAAATCAAACACAGCAAATAAAAGACAGCTCAGCCTAGCAGAACACATGAAAGTGAATCCTTTTGTGACATCCATCTCAGCTTTGCTCAACTTCACCCACGCCTCAGAGCCACAACAAAGAGGCAATAATAATTATATAATAATGCATTTTACAGCACTTGTCAATCCAGAGTTGCTAAATATTCGTTTGTAGCCACAGCTTGTAAAACTGTCCTCACTCCAGTCACGGGTGATTACATTAGATCTTGAAAACCCAAACCTTGCTCGTACTCGGTCCCTCCATTTTATTTTAGTCTAACAGCGTTTTTGCGTTTTTACCTAGCTTTACTGTGAAGCTGGGAGACAGCTGACTCTGTCCAACATTAAAAACTACTGCTGACTAATTAACACATACAGTATCTTGTTTGTGTAACCAGTACATTCAAGGACATTTAAAAACATCAACTTATGGTATTTAGGAGGAATTTCATGCTGGTAATCAAAGCATACTGTATAAGGACTCACAATCTTTACTGTCCAACACTCTATTACCTTCGGGTACTGAGGATGCGGTAGCCCTGGAAAGAATTCCAATGATTCTGACAATATTGTATTTGCACAACATCGTCATTAGTTGTTTTCTGCTACCATATGAACCTTCCAGACCTCTCAGGTCATCTGTGACAGGCCCGTTTTATGTCCCCAGAGTCAAAACTAAGCATGAAGAAGAAGCGTTCAGTTTTTATGCTCCATATGTCTGGAACAAACTCCCAGAAAACTGCAGATCTACCAAAACTCTCAGTTCTTTTAATTCAAGACTGAAGACTTTTCTTTTAAACCCTGCCTTTTATTAAATCAAATTTAAGGCTTTTGATTAATATCTTACACTGTCCTGTTTTATTCTATTCTATGTTGCTTTTCTGTTTTATGTAAGACACTTTGAATTGCCTAGTTGTTGGAATGTGTTACACAAATAAACTTGACTTTCCTTGCTTAAAGTGTTTGGTAACATTACTGACAGGCAAATCATTTTTCTCACTCGGATCTACAAATTAGTGCTGACAGGATGCCTTCAGTGATTTGGACCAACAAGAAAGATGCCATCCACATTCGTTTCAAGCTTCTAATCACCGATACATTACACAACGCACAGGCCGTCTGCCAAGTCCAGCCCAACACCGTGTCAACTCAACCTAGTTTACCAGCTACAATATCTACCCCGACAGAATGTGACAGCATCTACACCACCTGTTTCTCTGACTGTACTGTACATCTGTACTAATAAAACATGTATTGTATGTCAAGGCCTGTGTATGGAACTGTAAAATTGTGCCAGCATTCGATATGGTACCCATCTCACATGTCCTGAAATCCTGATGCCACAGCTGAACTTGCTGTCAAAAGTCAGCCCACAAGACGTCCATTTTTTCATTATATCTGGACCTTTTATCTTTTCATTATCAATGCTTTCATATGGCAAGTGCAAAACAGATGAGAGGTTTATTACAGCTATTGAAGTTGATTAAAGCCTCTGAGTTCGATTACTGAAGAAACACAGGAATTAAAGTTGCATGGTGCCCACTTAGTTTCTGATCATGTTCGCACGGCACGGCTGTGGTGGAGGCGAATCATCTGCAAACAGCAAAGGGAATAACCAGTTCCTAACCACCTTTACAACAGCCTGCAGAGAGGATATGCCAGAATGTAGGAAGGATATAGATTTAGTCACATTTACACTATGTAGGCCTATAAACACCTTCTCCTTTTCCCTGCAGGATGCGGTGGAAAACAGGTGATGTGTACGTATGTGGGGAAACTCAACCTGCATTCTCTTTAGGAAAAGTCTTTACACACGGTTAAAAAACTCAAGTGCCAGAATAGAGGATGCTCTCCATGATATTTATTTGTTACTTACCTATGCATTGTTGAATATGTTATCTTTAGCCTACTGAGCTTTTCATATTTACTCACACATTGGTGCACATTCAGAGATAAGATTTAGCAAAATCTCTATATTGTAAATACAGCACCGGGCTATATTGCTTATCCATGTCCCTTTTCCTTCTTCTGTTTTGTACATTGTTTACATTTTGTGACACTTATTACTATATCTTAGTAAGCACAAGACAGTTTCTTCTCTTCTATTAATGAAGGCATACAAAAGTCACAGTGTTTTAGGTGTGCAATACTTCAATATGCTTTTGATAAACCTATGTTACAAAACACACTCTTAACAACTCTGCAAGCAAATGAAAAACTCATGTACCTCTCTGTATCCCGTAACTTGAGGTGACCAGAACCAGCAGAAAGAGGATCTTGAAGACTGAAATGGTTTCTACAATCTTCATCCTGGCTCTAGAACGCCTTGACAAATCTTTTTCACCGGTACAGAATAAGCTGGTGGTTAGAATCCCATAGCAGGTAAGGCGATGCTCTTGTTGGTTCACTCGGTGTGTTTCTTCACTGTGTGCGTCTGCGTCTTAGCCAGGGACAGCCATGAGCTCTGTGCTCAACAAGCACCAGCTCAGTCACTCTGTGTGTGTGTGTGTGTGTGTGTGTTTGTGATGGACAGTGGCAGCTGCTAGCTGTCCTCATGTACAGTCACTCACAGGTTTTGTAGCCACGCTCAAAGCTCCAATGCCTTTAGAGTGTTATCCTCATTCACAGTAATCAACAACAGTGTCAGTCCACTGTTTATTCATCGAAACACAGAAAAAGCTGCATTCAAGGTTCTGCGCTTTAGGGCCATTTTAGTTGACATAAAGTACATTTGTCTCAGTGAAGCTATATACCAGAAGTCCAAAACTCAGAGATAGCAAACATTGCTGCACAAATATAGTACAAATCCACTTTTCAATCACTTTTTTGCTGTCACATATCTCCAATCCCATTTGTATCCAATCTAGTCCAAGTTTCAACTTCTGTAACACAGAATTTTACCCAATATAGGACAGGATAGATTACCAGTCAAATACAGTAAGCTACAATATATGGTATGTGCATCTGAACCTTCTTTTCTCATTAATATGCTGTTTTATATGCAGATAAACAACATTAAAAATATGTGTGAAGCATCACATACTGGAAAACAGCTGTCCATATTTTTACAAAGAAATGTACACACAGGCGTATTCCAACTCGCTACTTAACATGTATTTACTTTTACACTTTGATGCACACACACACACACAGAGTCCAGGAGACAGCCTTTGTGTCCACCTGTTGCCTGCCAGCCTGTATGTCCTGTTTTATTTTAGGAAAGGAATGGCATTTCAGTTCATTCGCTCCTTATCCATTCTGCTTTGGATGGAGTCAACTATTGTGCTTCCCTTGGCAGGCACAGTTAGCATTACACATTGTTGTTAAGGAACAACTAGCGTTCTAAGACTTTTTCTTTTTTAATTAGGTTTAACTGTTGGCCTTAACAAAAGTGATATAGTTGTGACTGTTGTTTTGTATGAGGCTTCAATTGTATATTACGGACAATACCATCACTTGTGATAGTGAGGCTGCCGTTCATGATGCCATACCCTTGTCTTTTGTCTTGTCATGTGCCAAAGCTAGTAGATGTAGTTTCTTGCCCAGTGTTTGTCTTTCAGTGGGTCCCTTCCTTTATCCCTTTTATACTGTACATTTGTGCAACTCTCATCTCCCTCCATCTTCATGTCTTAGATCAAACAACGCACGCACATATATATATATATATATATATATATATATACACACACACACACACACACACAAGCAGACCAGTATATGATTTTAGTAGTTCTTGTTCTTGTTGCCACTTCACACCACTAGGTGGTGCTGCCATGCAAGGTAATTTGTACTTCATGGCAGAATAAGAGTAAGCTTCTTTTTCAGCAGTATTTTTTTCTAATAAATGCAGCGCACCTCCGCATCTAAAACACATCTGAGGATGCAAACCCTGACAAAAACAAAAACAAAACCCATTACATTGTCAAACTACTACTTTGTCATGGACCACTGACTCAGCAGTATAATTCTGGACAACTTTAGTACTGATACTCTGACTCCCTCTGCTGACACAGGTGTTCAACTGCTCTTGAATTAGCACCACAACAGTAAAATGTATATTGTGCAAAACGTTTTGCAAACATGTTTAAAAAGATATTTTATTTATTTAAGAAAAAACTGGATACTGCTTGTGTTGTAGTCTGTTGGAGCCTGCTGGCATAAGGCTTCTGTCCTATGGGATTAATATTCTGCCTTGATTCAAAACTGAAAAAATAAAGCTCTGAAAGCTTGAAAACTCAAAATCTTACAAAAAAAAGTTTTGCAAGATCGAAAACTAAGATTTGCAAGCTTGCAAAATGTAAACAATTAAAAAAATCTCTGCAAACATTATGTTGTTTTTGAGTTTTCCTTCTTCAGAGTTTCAAATTTGTCAGTGTTCTCCCAGTGTATTAATTTGTTGTTCAGGTTTGAAACCTTGTAAATGGTGATCTGAAAACTGGTGTGCAAATGTGTGTGAAAAAAAGTTTTGAAACTCTGAAAATTGAGTTTCAAAAGGGCGAAACTTTATTACATTACATTTGCACTCCTATTGCAGACTATTTTTTCAGAACTGAGTTTAAAACACCCACTTTGCCGAGATACGCCTACACAGTTGCGAGCTAGCGACTCACGTGATTTGTGGCAGTGTTGTCACGCAGCTCTGCTCTGAAACTCAGAAACTCAGACTGAGCGAAAATTAAGTTTCGCAACCTCGGAACTTAAAAAAAAGGCCTGCAGGCAGGGCCTTCTGCTCTTGGCCAAGCTTGGCTGTCTGCTGAAGTACGGTCCAATCACAAGTCATATTTACTGGATAGAGGGATTGACAGACTGCTCCGCCAATGACAGACGCGGACAGGTTACGTGTTCAGGAAGCACGGCTCCCTGGACGGGCTGGCCGTCTCCGTCCAAGCGGTGCATGGATGTGGAAAAGGAATCTGTAAGGGGTAGTAGTTCAGGGCGGTTTGTTCATCAGCGCGATGTCACCCGTGGTGTTGTGTCGGGAGATGCAGTAACTGAACCAGCGGTGAGTAAGAAATAGTATAAATAACATGTAATTTGTTAAGCTATGAGGAGATGGAAAAGTCCGCTAGCCGCTAGGCTAATTTATGCTGCGTAAAATGCTAAACTTACAGTAAACTATCAATGGAGACTATCAACCAGACAAATCTCGACAGTTATTAAGCCAAAATATATGCTTTTGTTAAATGTGATTATTCTATTAAACCACGTTTTATGTGTGGTAGTGCAGTCATTTTAAAGTTGACTTTACTGTAGTTAACCAGTAACAACTATTTGTATTGTTGTTTTTTTCTTAGAAGAAGACATATATATTTGTGGACAGCTTCATCCTGGAGTTCATTGTTATTGTCTACAATGAATGAACAATGACCATTAACAGATGGGTTGCCATTCATCAGTTCATCCTCAAAGACACCTTTGGATGTAAAGGCAACTACTTTTTTTATTGAAAACTAAACTGACTCACAATAATCTGATTCAGCTGTCAAATGTTTTTAGGTGCAGCAAATCCAAGCTAAAGAACGATCTTGCGAAACTTTTTTTTGTAAGATTTTGAGTTTTCAAACACTTAGTTTCAACCTTTCAGAACTTTATTTTCAGTTTTGAATCAAGGAAGGATATTAATCCCATACTGTCCCAAGTTGTTTGCATTACATGCATCCAGTAATCCTGTATGTACTTTAATTGTGGGGCATTGAATTACAATGTTTGTCTCATAACAGTAGAACTAAACCGCTGTTTTCTCTTCAGAGAGCATAAACACTAAGGCATGGTTACAGTTACTGGTCACATGTAATAAAGCTTGAAGACAAGGTCCCTGAGTGTGTAGAAATTTGACTTGAAATTTAATGGTAAGAGTCCTGAACCAAAACAAAGCATGTGAAATAAATTGTGATGTTGTGCTTTAGTTGGCTCATGTTAGATAACGTTAGCTCGCCGGCTAACACCGAGCAGTTGACGTTATCCCGGTGCAAAATACTGTAGTTCAGTGGTCCGCAATAGGCTGCCTGCCTAGGCATAGGCGGCCACCAGCAATAGTATCTGGCCCGCGGCCAGATTGCTTTGATAGCAGAAAAATAGGCTAATTAAATTTATGATGGCTGGTGCTGAAATAGATCTAGCTACAGTTACTTACACAATCACTTCCTGTTAAGTGATTATACCTCTAAAATAAAAGCATGAGAACGTCTTTTGCAGCAATGCTTCATGTCGAGTTTATCAAGAGCTTTTACTTGGAAGAGTTCTCAAGGAAATTCAAGAGTCTCTGGCTTGCTTGACACACCTCTGAAAAAGCGTCAGTAAACGTGCGATTGGATTCTCCTGAATTTCCTCAGGGAAATGAGAAAGTGTCCACAGGTTTATGAATGCGGATCAAACGCCGGAACACGCACACATTGCAGCACATGCTTTATTATGAGCATGTGCAAAAGTGTCCTTTTGTTCAACAAGGGAGAAAAAAAATATCCACTGTGAGTTGGAATTGATCTTACAACCTACCTACGGGGAGTCCCGCACAGTACCGACTGAGCTAAACATATTGTACATATGAATATAAATAATTTGATGTTGTTCTGGCCCACCCTATAACAGCTTGAAAAAAATTGTCCCAATGCCAGACTTATTTGCCGACCCCTGCTGTAGTTATTTCGTTATTTTGCTTTCCACATTACTTCACAAGAAATGATGTAACGGTAAAAAGCAAATGTGGAGCAATTTGTTTATACTAGCCTTGGGCGGCCAGCCGTCTTTAGCACAGATCTAAATTACTGGTGTTTGCTTTGTAACGTTCAGTTTAGATTTATTGTTGTTTTACCAGTACTCAGACCGCAGCTTCTCCACTGTCTCACTTGCTGTAACTTATGTGACCCACATAATATACAGTAATGCATCATAATGGAAGTGTGGCAACAATGTCATTTAATATTCAGTCTAGCTCTCACCGTTTCCTTATCATCCAATACATTTAGCTGTGCTGACATTGCTGAGCCACCGGTGAAAGACTCACAAATAACGTTGGTTACTGAAAAGCAAAAAGGGCTTGTATCACGCTGGCTAAATGCAGCGAATGCACTCTTAAAACCGCTCTTCTAGTGGCCACTGAAAACAACATATTGCCCCTTTAAATACTTAACCCAAAGGTAACATGAGAGAGAGAACAGGAAAGGACCATGGACTGATCTCTGGGGTACTCTATGCCTGAATTGGGTAGTGAAGGATTTCAAAGTTTTTTCAAGGAGATCTAAAAGGGCACCATCTATGGTGAAGACTATGAAGATGAATCTGCTACAGGTGCATCGGGAAAAAAATAATATTGTGAAAAGTTCATTTTCTTCCCTAATTTAAATTTAAAAAATTACGTATAAAGTTAATATATATATATATTTGTTTGTTTTAATCTTGATAATTATGGCTTATAGATAATGGAAATCTCCATTCCAAAATGTATTAGAATTTTGGAATAAAACTATACTATAATGTATATATTCCACATGCACAAGGGAGTCAGATAACACACTGACACACAAAAACACACTGACCTCCTGGGCACTGCCGAAGGTGGCCTTGAGCAAGCCCCTGAACCCCCCCAACTGCTCTGAGCGCCGCACTGATTGGCTGCCTCGTCACTCTGAACTCTCTCTGCGTGTTGTTCCATGTGCATGTGTTTCGGACTGTGTGTGTATACTAATAATAATAACACCAGAGTGAAAAATGAATTTCCCCTTGAGGGATTAATAAAGTATATCTTCTTCTTCTTCTTCTTTCCTGCTGGTTTCAGAAAGCCATATTTTATGACCTATGCCTAAACTAGACAAAGTGTGTTTGAAAACTGAATGTTTGAATGTTACATCATGTCAGTGACTACATTTCAGTATCCTATTAGACCCTGCTACACATACACAAAATTGCAATCTACATATTGTTTTAACACTTGGTTAACAGCAGTCCACTGGTCAGACCTCCCTCTCTCTCTAAACATGCATGCACGCACACACACACACACACACACACACTCATACCCACATAACACAGTTGAGTCATATCTGGTGTCAGTCAGTCAGCCGCCCCTCCCTCCCAACACTGTCTCAACGTGTCCTGCAATAATTAACCAGCTGCTGCAGTGTGCTACACTAGCTCACCTCCTAACACACGCACTGTACTCTGGACCTATCAACAAACACACGCATACAAACACACACGCAAGGTACAAGTCCTCAAACATGGATTGACCCAGCTTCATTTGTCTGGAGAAGCCTGGCCAGGTAGGAGTGAATGAACGTTTGATCACCTTTCTTTTATGCTTCAATTTGTTTCAATGCAAAATTCATATGACTTAAATTTTAGGTGCATTAACTGTTTATGTGTGTGGGTTTCAATAGCATGAATAACTATTTCCTAATTCTGATAAAATAATGCAACTAATTTACGGGTCTGCTATACTTTAATTTGGTAAGCAACACACCAGATATGTTGCCTAAAAAAGTTGCCTAAAAGTAGATGTGTAAGACAACCAATTAGGGGGCACTATACGAACATTACCTAGGTTACTTAAGGTCAAATCTGTGCATGTGAGTGAGGAAGAGCATTTGTCCCGTCGTACAAAGATAGAAAGGCAAGGGCGAAAGAGAGGCAGCGAGAGAGAGATTTGGAGTGGCAGGAAGACAATAAAGGGAGAAGCTGGGTGTGTCATGGTGTAACTTGGCAATTTTCCCGCTGGCTATGTTTTTCCGGCTCACAGTTTTATAAAAGCTTGTATCTTATTGCGTACATACACTGCACCCTCTGCTCCGCCCACCACATGCGTGTGCTGGTTTGGCTTTATGAGAGAAATTCATAATGACAGCATGAATAGTTCTATAGCTCACTTCTGATAGTGCCTCTTTGAAAGTTGAGTTCAATCAAGCTTACAATGGCCTTTAATTAACATCTTGCATAGCCTGTATTTGGAATGTATTGCTCTACATTTGAGCCCATTGGTGGTAAATATCTAAGAACTGTCTTGGTTTTCTATCAAGCCTCATGAGGTCATGGTGTAGACTTTTTGCCACCAGTCAATCAAACCTGAACTTAAACACGCATACCAATACCTCGCTGGAAGTATAGTGGAACAACCTCTGAATAGGGGGAAGTGCCCATTGACTTTGCAATGTTGACCATTTATGAGTAGTTCTCTTGTGATGGCTGTTGGCATATGATTCACAAATCACACACACACACGCACAAAAGCAATATGTAGACATGCACCTTCTCTGCTGCTCAGGTGTCTTCCATTTTTCCCTGTTAAACGTTTTTCCTTCTCTGAATCAACGGTCTTACAATAGAGGGTGTTGTATGTTATACAATAAAGTCCCTTGATGCAAATTTGTGACTTTGGGTTATGTGAATAAAATTGACTTGACTTGACTGTGCTCAATACACATACAGTTCTGATGTATTTGTTCCAGGGGATCTTAAAATCTGCATGTTGAGGCTTGAAAGACACACAGTGAAGTGCCCTCATCGGTTCAAGTTAAAGATAAAAGAGAAAGCTGTGAATCTTTGGACTTCTTGCACATGGTGTAATCGGCCCATTAATCCACTCTAACGCTTCTTCAGTGCTTTTTACTGTATTTATTCTGCAATGAAGAAGCTTTTATTAACCTTCATTAACCTTTTGCAAAACTACATCTGCCCTTCCCCAGCAAAGTCTGTTCAGACACAAACATGGCGTCACTGTGTACAGCCTGGATTTACAAATGAGTAAGTGAGCAGCTCCAAACCAGTAGACGGTAATTGAGTGCTGTGATCAAGTGAATTAGATCCTGTACCTGGAAAGGTGCCCTTGGATCCCTGTTAAAATCCAGACAAATAAAAGGCAGATTTAAGTGTTTCTCAGGCATGCATCATTCAGACCTCTGACCTGACTGACCTCTGTTTATCTTAATCAATTTATCACACAGTAAATTAAAGGATAGAGCTTTAAATAAAAATAGAGAGGTTACATGATAAAATAATATGATGGAAAGAATTAAAATTAATAAAAAATTAAGGGAGCTTATAAGCAAATAAACAGGTAAGCAATGCAATTTGCAGCTAAACAAGTTAGACAAGTTAAAGAGACTAAGTTAAAGATTCCTATCTGAATTTTAAGCTCACTCATCACTTAG